GTACAAGGAACAGTGGCTTGGGCCAAGGAAACAGGAAAGCACATTGGAGGCGTGGTCGCTGGCGCAGGTGTGGGAATGCCGGGGTTAATCATCGACAAGAAGAATGAGCCACTGAGCCTTGAGAGCATTGATTTCGTACTAAACATCAACCTGCGAGGAACGCTGGATCTGATCCGTCAGACGATACCGCACATGACCACTGCGCCTTCTTCAGGCCCCGACGGCGCCCGCGGTGTCATCATCATGATTGCTTCCTCCGCTGCTTTTGACGGCCAAATGGGCCAGGTTGCATACGCAGCCTCCAAGGGAGCAGTCGCATCTCTGACCCTCCCCCTCGCGCGCGATCTCTCAAGGTATGGTATCCGAGCCGTGACGATAGCGCCCAGCATGTTCGACAGCGCCATGACGCGCATGATGAGCGACAAGGTCAGGAAGAGTCTGGAGAACAGCATGGAGTTCCCAAAAAGGCCAGGACAACCGGACGAGTTTGCCAGGTTGGTGGTGGAATGCATTGGAAATGACATGTTGAATGGAACGGTGCTGCGGTTGGACGGTGCAATGAGGATGCCGGCGAGACTATAGTTTTGATGTTTGATTACGTTTTTGTTGTTTCCAAATCAACGCAGTGTCTTCAACGCTTGCGCTCACGGACCTTGAACTTGATGCCACTCTTGTTGACTCCTCCCACTGTGTTGTTCATTTTTGCACGCTGCAGCTCCAGCTCCTCCTCTGCCGCCATCAGTTCGCGTTCTCGTTTCTTGATCCCTTGCAATTTCGAGGCTGTCCTTTCCAGCGCGCGCTCCCTGTCTTTACGGAACTTCCTGGCTTCTCGCTGCGCCTGCTCCTCTGCCTCTGCCTGCTTCTTGGACAGTGTCTTGGGCCGCTGTGTGGCTTGGTCCTCGTCCTCCTCCGAGTCGTCTTGGAGATCTCCGAACGTCGGTGAATCTACTCGGCTAGGAATCTTTTCACCACGCCCAAACCATGCATCCGGATCGAACTCTTCTTGCTCCTCCTCATTCTCCACAAAGACCCTATGTTTGCCATGCTTTGCCTCCTCCCCGTCCTTTATAGCCCGGACCTCGCCCTGCTCCTCCATAACCAGCTTCTTCTCGAGTTCCTCGCGCTCTTTGCGGGTGACCTGGAGCACGGTGCGGATGTAGCCGACGTCCTGGGTTTTCAGCAGCTTGACCACATCGACGCTCAAGGCCTTGTTGCCTCGGTCTGCCACCTTGCGACCATGCTTGTCCACCTGGGACGACATCATCTTGAAGGAAAACTCATCGGGATTGCGGTCGCGAGCCTTCTGGCTCAGGATCTTGAGCTTGGCCTTCTTCTCTCGGTGGTCGGCGGCGCGCAGCTTGTAGTCCTTGCGCTTCTCGAGCAGACCCCATTTCTCGCGTTCGAGAGGCTGGGCGCGCTCTTTGTGGTTGCGCCGCTGAACGGCATTTCGCATTGATGACATGTTGGTGCGGCGTGGAGGTCTGTGTCGGCCTTGACGGTTCGCTGGTGTCGACTTGAAATTGCTGGAAATTATTCCAGGCGCCAAGACTCCGGCCCGCTGAAATGTTCTTCTCTTCGAACGTCTGTGCGTCCTCCGCCGCACGTCCACGCCCTCGCCCCAACTGCCAGTTAGAGGCCTACTGGGAAAACCTCGACGGTTCTCATGACAGATTCGGCACACGACGAGAACCACACCGGGGCCCACATTGCCTGTTCTACATATTGTATCGCACATCATTCCCCCATCGGTATCCTATTAGGAGCGTCTTCATTCGTCCGTTGGCTTCGAAATGTCTTACCCGGCACCTAACCTGAAGTATGTAAGTACATACATAATAGCTCCAAGCCTGCAGAAATAGTTCCAAACATGATGTGACATCTCCCTCCCTGGCGCGTAAGCACTTTGTACCGTGGCAAAGGCTATTCGATGATTACGTGGATGGGCATGCAAGTAAGTACGTACCAAGTATATAAGGAGACCCATTCTTAGGCCCGCAGCCATCTGTCTGCGAGTCTTCTAAATGACATGTGGTCCTCGAGAGGATCACATGTCTTGATTAATCGACGATAGCGATCAAGAGAGTTTCGGTGTAGTGACCCTTCCGGGGACGGTGGTTTTCGTAGCTGTCCGCCCGTACTCGGAAACGAGACCTAAAAGTCTGGCCGAGACGCCAAGTCTATGTTAAATTGAAGCCAAGAAATCCTATGAGATCCAACGACAAATTTGGAGCTGATCTGTGGCGGAGAGAATGTTCCTCCCTGCCATTCGCAGTCATGGCAAACCCCCTTCACTTGAATAACGTTGCCCTACCGTTCGCCCAGAGTGCTGTATAGAAGATTTAAAGAGATAATTCGTACCATAAAGACATCTACAAATTATTCCGTCACGACGCATCCCTTCCAAATGTACTATACACGAGGAAAGTCACTCGACCATATAGGGCATAGCCCTACCAGCTGCCAACCACTTGTCCTACACTAGTAACCATCGCACGTTTTTCTCGAACGATCCGCCCATGCAGAAAACGTGCCCCCACTCCTGCTGCGACGTCGTCTTGGCCTTGGACATTCAAGTCCATCTGCGGTAATTTCGCATACTCCACCACCCGCTTATCTAGGTATCCATACGTGTTCGCGAACCGAGCGCTTATGCATAGAGAATCAGACATGTCACCATTAAAGACAGTAAGATTCCCGCCTTTTCTTATGCTATCGCGTTGCACTGTTTTTATTTTCCCTTCTATTTTTGTGCCTAATCGGGAAACACACTCCAATCCCTCTAATCCATCGCACCTTTTCTCGAGATCGCTTTGATTGGCAACTAGCCACTTTTTTGAAAACATGATCTCTCAAGTCGCTCTTTTCTCGCTCATCGCCAATATGGCCGCTGCGCACATTCTGGATATTCCCACTCGGGTCGGCAACGTCATTGCATTGCCAGAAGCTAGCGTCATCACAGGTTCCGTTGACTTTGGCAACAAAGAGTTTGATCGTGGTCACAAGTGTGACACGGACGACGACACTGGCAGCGAGAATGCCGTCTTCATCCTCCAAGATGGCGCTTCTATCTCCAATGTTATTATTGGTACCGATGCGCTCGAGGGCGTCCACTGCTTGGGCTCTTGCACGCTGACCAACGTCTGGTTCCGTGACGTCTGTGAAGATGCCATTTCTGTCCTTGGCACTGGTGATGCTCTCATCGTCGGTGGTGGAGCAATCAACGCTATTGACAAGGTTGTTCAGCACAAGTAGGTTCCTTTTTACCAGTGCAGATAGAAGCCTGCTAACATGATTGTAGCGGCCCTGGAACTGTGACAATCCGCGACTATACTATTGTCAATGCCGGCAAACTCTACCGCTCATGTGGTGACTGCACCAACAACAGCAAGAAGTCACCCCGCAAAGTCATTGTCGAGAACGTCAAGGCCTTTGGATTGACCTCTGACTTGGTTGGAATTAACCCCAACTTTGGTGACAGTGCCACTATCAGCGGCTCTTGCGGACAGACCAAGGAGGTCTGCGCAGACTACCAGGGCGTTGACAAGGGTAACGGCAAGAGCCAAAGGCTCAACACTAAGCAAAGCTGCAACGGTCCCCAGGGCAAGCTCGAGAAACTCCCAGAGTGCGGTGCTGCTGAGGTACCGACTCCCACTGCCACAGCAAGCAGCACTCCAGTCTACAACGGCACATTGCCTCTCCCCACCTTGACCGTTTCCACTGCCATAACAAGCAGCACCCCAGTCGCCAACGCCACCGTGTCTTTCCCTACTTTGAGCATTTCCACTCTCATCACCAAAACCTCCGCCATTGTCACCCCAACTCAGTAAGACATCTCCGCAACCTTCATATCGTTCATGTGACTAATCGACCGTCAGGGGCAGCGGATATTACGATGGCAGCTACGGTGGCGGCTACGGTAGCAGCAACAGTGTCCCACTATTCGGACGCTGTGGTGGCAAGGGCTACACTGGACCTACTACTTGCCGTTACGGCAGGTGTGTCGCATTCAACCCGTGGTTCTCCATGTGTACCTAAGCTGTATAGAGTGCCGGTGCGACGGCCTTTAGACAGGGCATGGTGTGGCTTGGCCTATGCTAGGGCTTGCTCCCTCGCGGCTTCTTTTCTTCTTGAATATACTTTATCCATTGTACATACATATTTATTTGCCGGCCAATCAATTACCATTCACAATATGATTGATGGTACTGTTATCTTGCTCACTCACTTCTGCTGTCGTCTGTCCGCCTCTAAGGGTTGATTTCACGTGGTCCATACAACTTGACGTTGGTGGCACAACTGTTAAATGGAGGCATGTGCTTGAGAACGAATCGTTGCCCGCTGGCTGCACGTACGCATCCACTCTGAACGTTACAATCAATTTTTTTGCAGCCCAACTTACTCTTTAAAAGAGAAATATTAAGAAGACAGTCTGATTCGCAGTCGATGGCAAAAACACGGTGCAAACTCTTGGCTATGCAGCTATGCAAGTGAAGGAAGTCGTTGGTGGTAAACATGACGTCAGCAATTGACAAGCGAATGCCACTTTCGAGCTACCCCGAGTCACATTAACTGCCTTTTACATAGAAAAGTGTACGTGCAACATTATTTGGCACATATACCCAAAGAAGCGATGACCCAGTTACATACGGAATGATTGCTTGAACTGGTACTATCTGCGGCTCGCCTGGCTATTCTCGCGTCCCCTCACTAGGCAAAGGGGTTTTCGTCTTGGTTTTTCCGACGCCACGGTCAACCATACCGAAATGCGGTAATAGCGCAATGCTAAAACCTGGAGAAATACGATGATCTCTTGCCGGAAGAAGTGCGGAGCCCCACACAACCTCTACCAGGGTTCACGTTGTTGTGGATTCGGGCTATTAACCCCCGCAATCGCTTGGCTGGGAAGTAGTTGTGGACTTTGACCGGCTATTATATGAAGTCCAAGCAAGTCGTTGTACCCAGCAGCGTCTTTATCCAGGCCTTCTCACCAAAACCTTACAATGGGGTTCAGCAAGCTATTTTGCCGGCTTGTGTTGGTTTCTGCAACCACGTCTGCTAAATGGATTGTTCCAGGAGCTCGATGGAGAGCAACAGATGGTTCACTTGTCAATGCGCACGCAGGCGGTGTGACTGTGAACCCTGAGACTGGGAAGTTCTTTTTGTTTGGAGAATACAAAGTTCAAGGTCAAGAAGAAGGTGGTGGTGTGAGCGTCTACAGCTCGGACGATCTTGCAACATGGGAGCCCCACGGTTTAGCATTGACCCCAGTCGACGACCATCCCTACATTTCGAAGAAGGACATCATCCAGAGACCAAAAGTTGCATACAGCAAGGCTACCAATCAGTACCATGTACAACATTGACCTATGTTCTCTCGGTGGTTCGACTAATGATTTGTAGATGTGGTGGCATGCCGACAATTCGACATATGGCGAATTGCTCCAAGGTTTTGCCGTTTCCGACAATATCACTGGGCCGTACAGTTTTGTCGATGCTACAGCGCCTCTTGGAAATTGGTCGCAAGATTTTGGCATGTTTGTAGACCAAAAAGATGGACGCGCATACGCCCTTTACTCCAATGGCGACCGCCGCGAAGGACGCGACGTCTATCTCACATCTTACAATGAGAATATAACTGCTCTTGAAAAAGTCATCCACCGTTTCGATAAATACGATCTAGAGGCTCCCAATATCGTACAGACAGATCAGAGCTACTTCGCCCTCATGTCGCATAAGACGGGGTATCGACCAAATAGTGAGATGCAAGTTTCCGTCAGAGTGTGCAAAAGTCACTAACTATATCAAGATGTGGTAGCCTTCCGCGCAGATTCTCTTGCTGGTCCCTGGTCGCAGCCCTTCATAATCGCGCCATTAAATACGCGCACGTACAACTCCCAGTCAGGCTTCAATCTCCGTATCAACGGTACCAAGAAGACGACCTATATCTACATGGGAGACCAATGGGATTCCATCTCGTTGTGGGAATCAAGGCAAGAAATTTAGAAATTGTAAACAGAAGGATGAAGTGCTCATAACGAACAGGTATATCTGGCTTCCACTTGAAATCAACGAAGAAGAGAAATCTATTGAACTTGTCTGGCATGATGTCTACGATTTGGATGTAAAAACTGGCGAAATCACGCCCATCGAAGGCACTACCTACTATAGCAAGGATGCAACCACGACTGGAAGCGCGTGGCACCAGGAAGCTAGATTCGCAAGCGACAAAGTCATTGTCACTGGCATCTACGGCAACGACAGCAAAGTCACCTTTCACAACATTGAAGGTAGCGGCAAACCTCAGTGGGTATCGTTTTACTATCAAAACACGGACGATATGGGCTTCGGTGACCAACCTGGTGGCACTCCCGATCGTATCAATGGAACTTGGCAGCTTCGTCGCATCTCCAGCGTCATTGTCAACAACAAGACCGAGGAGCTCCAGACACTGTACCAAAGAGATACCCACAAGGGAATTATTCTGAGTACGCCACTTATGCTTGAATTGGAAAAGGGAAGTCACAACACTATTACTATTGGCGGTCTCTACAACGGCAAAGATATCAAGGGCGCGGATATTGATCGTATTGTAGTCTACCCGCCCGAAGAATGATTGGATGTTCCTTCAAGTACTGATGAGTCAAGAATACGGTAAATGTACATAACGTTTCGATCAAATTCTACCAAAGATTATGGATGAACAACACAAGTTACTTCTCACTCGCTGGTTCCTCTATAATCTATTTCCTCAAACACCGGTCTAATTACCAAATGATGAAACGTTGATAGTGTTCGCTCATTTCTAAAGATCATAGGATCGTCGATCTACGCACGGAAAACTGGATGATCCAAAACGCCACCTCAAGCCCCATCTATGTTCATCGTAATCTATGCCCATCCTATCCGATACAGATTGTATCCGCTCTCATCGCCCCTTCCAATACCCCTCTTCTTCTCGACAAAATCTTTTTCTAGTATGCAGAAAACCATACCACTTGCATTCTTGGGACACTTTTCAGGAACAAAAGCAGACTCGACAGTGTCGGGGATACCTTCGAACTTGCCCGTCTTGCGCACCGTGACCATCAGCCAAAAAGTGCCATCCAGAGTCAGCATATGCGCAGCACAATCGCGTAGCCAAGCAGCATGCTCAGGTGCATAGACGACGTCAGACGCGATAAGGAGATTGGACGTTGCTTTCAGCGCTTGAGGTGGCTGTGCCCAATCCAGAATTGCAGTTGACACATGCAGTGATGCATCTGTGCAGCTTGAGGGAAAGTTGGTTTGGATGTTGAGTTTGCAATTCTCCAGGACGGCGGGGTGGTAGTCAGTCGCGGCGATGTCGCCATCGTGAATGTTGATAGCGGGGAGGAGCTTTGCTAGCACTAGACTGACAAGACCAGTTCCCGCGCCCAACTCGGTAATCTTGGGCGCGGGCGCGAGGCCTGATGGATCCAGTGCGAATCGCTTGGGATCGGCGCACATCATACTACTAAGGACAATGCTGGCACCCCAGGATTGCAGGCCAACAGCGGTGTGGTCCGTACTTGAGAGTGGCGCGTCGTTGAGTGTGACTTGGATTGCTTTTCCAGAGGGCATGGAAAAGCTGAAGTCACGGGTTAGTGCCTGGTCTTCGTCGGTGTTGCTGGATTCAAATAGACTCGAAAGAATAAAGGCAGCATGGTCGACAATCCTCTCGCGAGCCTCTTCATCCATTTCCATTTCCTCTGAACGCGCGAGAAGCGTATTTAGCCATTGCGTGGTGAAAGCGCGTTCGAATGGATCAGCACGTAGAGCGGCGGTCAGCTCCTCCAGACTCGTCTCTTGTTCATCTTCGTCTTCGTCCTGAGAGGCATAGCCGGAATCGACAGGGGCTGGTGGTGACGTGATGGATTGCTGATCTCGCTTGGATACTGGTGTGGAAATGACAGTCGGTAAGCGTACGGGACAATACAAGGCCCGCAAATGCTTCAACGCCGAGGTGATCTGGGCTTCTGGCAGGGAAACTAGCAAACGGATGGGAGGTAAACTGCTTGAAGGCGGCAGACAACTGCCCGTGAGACTGCCACTCATTTGACAGCTCTCGCTAAGGAACGAAGGACGAAGAGGGTAACGCGCGCGCAGACGGGAAACAAAAAGGAAAGAATGTGGAGAGGGAAAGAACCGGAGACGACGCGGGGAAAAAAAAGGGTCTATCGTGAAACTGAAGGCGAACGATAAGGAGGATAACACGATAATACTGGGCTTAGCCTCACGCTCGGACAAATGCCGCTACTTTGAGAAGTTTTCACCGCCTGTCATATTGCACCGTGGGCGTGTGTGTGGATCACGATGCATCGTGGTGAGAAGGATTGCGATGGGGAATCTGCCATGGCATTTCCCTCGGGTCCAGGGATCTGGATAACTTTCGAGCCATGTGCGCAGTGAACTAAGTGTTGGCTCCCCTCACGATGCGTGACTAGAGTGAGATGGAATTTTGTGTCAAATGGTAATCGCCACGTGGGTCGCTAAGAATCAGCCTCATCGACGCTACTCCCAAAATCGCTTAGCGCATGAAGACCCTTTGGTTCAAACGGCATGCAGCCATGGATTCCCCTCCCAATGTACGGTCAACTCCGGCAAATACCATTTGGATAATGTCGCGGAACGGCAAAAGATTTCTGAAACATCTTGGTATGCTAGATTGGGAACTTGTCAACAGTCCGTAGATTGCAGCGCTAGTGGCTTGGAAGGCTTATGCTACGTAGAACGGCCGAAATCCTCAGCATCCGACATGACCATCAGGATCCTATTGCTTACATTCCGGAAATGACTGCCATAAGTAGAGGTGCTTCACGGGATTAATCCGGTGATTGATAACAGCATCGCTACGAAACAATGATTGCTGTTCGTGGCCGATTCTATTATGATTAGAAGAGATTGCGCTGGAGAGAAAAAGAAACTGGGTGACAGTAGTCTTCATTAATCGAATTCGCTCGTCCAGCATCTTTGACAGCAAAAGAAACGGAATCGGTTCAATTTTCATTTTTACCAATGTGCATCCGTTGATAGGTAATCTGCGGCCAACAGTGAACGGCAAATCCAAGGTCTCAACCGTAATGGCTATTTCGCAGGTTCCCGAGGCGGTTTCTCAATGCATGATTCTGAATCGAATGTCTTGATGGGAAGCGTCGCATATCTTGAATAACAGAAAAGGCGTAGCATCGATACACGTGATCAAGTGCTCTGTTGATCTGTACTATAAGTCCACTTTGAAACACGAAATTCACTAGGACACCATATATTTTTCCTGAGCTTCTACGTGTTTCTCATGCCTTCCAAAATATCTTACTGGGCTTAAATCTCGCGTTAAGGCACCTGTCATAATGCCGCATGTCTGTCATTCCAAAACCCCAATTTTATGCCTCACACATCAACACCCTTTCTGCGACGCAGAAGTACCCTGGCTTGCATGTCAGGATACATATCTCCGTCCACAGTAAAATTTTTCGGGCGTGACGGACATTGTCCTGATGGGAACTTCCAGTCATACGACAGCAGGAGTTGCGAGAGCACTAGTTTGATCTCATTGGCAACAAACGCTCTTCCCGGACAAGCGTATTTCCCGTACCCAAACGCCATGTGCTCAGCATCACTCATGGCAAAGGTATACCGCTGGGTATTTTTAAGGTCCTTACGCAACTTTACATAACGATAGGGATCGAAGGTTGCTGGATCCCCACCGGGGACCCGTATCGGGTCGTTAAGGATTGCATTCTGCGGTACTGTGATGCGGGTACCGGCTGGGAGATGCACTCCATTTGAAAGAGTGAGAGCCTTTGGAAGGATGCGGTTGAAGGTCATGAGGAAAACAGGACTTTGTCGCTGCGACTCCTTGAGCAGGCTGTCGAAAAGGTGGAGTTCGTCAAGTGCGCTCTTGGTCCAACTGCTGCCCTGCCACTGCGGCCCTTGGAGAGCATTGAGAATTTCGGAACGAATTTCAGGGATAAGTTCTGGTCGCGCACACAAGTCGTAGAGTGCTTGGGCCATTGTCAATGCTGTTGTGTGAATTGCCGTCAAACTTAAAAGTAGAGTCAATTGGGCCAGATTTTCAATCTTCCGCTCTTTCTCGTTTGCCGCTTCGAGTAACCATTGCAGGACATCTTGGTGAGCTGTTGGCGTATCGACCCTTTCGCGCTCTGCAACCAGTTCGCCAACAATACGCACAGCATCTTTGACGTTGCGATGAAGCTGTCGATATGTCGGTAGCATCGGAGCAACAACTGGGCGTAGAAATTTTGGAACAAAGCGTAAAATGGTCCCCGTGATAAATAGATTCGCTGTATATTGCGCTGTTGTTAAGAGCCAGTCTTCGTCACGACAGCGATCCGGACCAATCCACACGCGTGCAACCAGCCGAGAAATGATACGTGGAAAGACAGTCATCAAGTCCAGCTCTACCCAGTCTTCACCATCGCACGGGGGAAGTTCTTTCTGTAAAGCATATTGCAACTCATCCCGGACGACAGGAACCAAGGTGCTGAGATTTGGTGTCAGTTTCGTCTGTAACACGCGAGTCTGTACATCGCTTGTCTCAAATATGTTTCCATTCGTCCAGTCTCCAGCAAAGTCGTCGAGAAAAGGCTTTACAGAGCGCACAGCATCGTTGGTGAGGGCTCGAATCTCATTAAGAAGCTTATTATCTCCAATAACAACCACATCTGCTCCCACACGGCGGAGCACGAATAGGTCTCGATACTTTGATAGTCTTTAGCTAGCTTCAATTATTCCTGCCAGTACTGGCCGGCCGGAAAATCTGCTTACCTTTTCGTATCCTTCCTTGATCATCGACCTACTCCCGCGGATGAAACGCAATCGTACAAGCCATTTGGGCTCCCAGAACGTCCTATGTCCGACAACAGGAAGTCCAAGTTTGGTGCGATTTGTTTTCAGAGCGTATACCAAGTAAATACATATAGCAGGTATTATAACAAAAGGAAGCAGAGAGTGATCACTTGCCAACGTTGGAGCCGTGATAACTCGTAGGTTGTTCAGTGTGTAGTTCATAGTTCCCTAAAACTTGACTACTAGAATTACAATAAGAATTTTCAAAGACGTAAAATGCTGAAAAGGTTGGGATGGTACTGTCGCGAATGGCGCCGTACGCCAAAAAGGAAAGAAAGCCTGGAAAAGTACACTAACAACTTCGGAGTCCGTAATTTTATTGCTGCGCTGTATGAATAAAGCTAATTATTGCAAAGTAACACCATATCAAATGGCGAGGAGAGTTACAGGGAAGCAGATTGCCAGCTTCGGAGTCCGTAGTCTTAGTGCCAGGCTACATCAATCAAGTGTCCTATCGCAAATAGCGCCGTGGCCAATGGTACTATAACAAATAGCACCGGAAGTGAGGAGCACGTAAACATGACTTGGTGAAGATAACATCCAGGAATTATTGCTGCATATAGAAGAATAAAAGTTTTTTTTTGATACCCGATCCTGGCAGATTGCGGGGTGGCCTGCCATTCTTTTCTAAAAAAAAACAATCTGATAAGTTCTGCGCCAAACAGATGATCCATTTTAAGTCATAGAAGAACAAACGAGTTTCATATGTAGAATTATTGCTAATCAAACCTAAGAACATCGTGCGCTTAGATAGCGCTTTGGTTTGCCTTCTCGTAGTCGAGCTGAGATACCTCCTCATGCCATTTACAATCTAGAGAACCGTGTTAGTACCTTAGAGTTCTATAGCCGCGTATATAACTAACCACCTAACGAAACTGCTGTATGAACCATCAGCGTATTTCCAGTAGCGCCATGCCAATGCTTTTCGCCGCCTGGAATATGGACCACATCTCCAACTTGTAATCGTCTGGGTTCCTGACCTTCCGAGCATATAAGACCAGTCCCAGCAATTACTGTTAATATTTGGCCTTTTTCATGAATGTGCCAGTATGACCGAGCGCCGGGTGCAAAACTAACATTGCCACATGCGGTTCCGTCTGTCGAAAAGAAAATTGGATCGAAGTGAACTGATCCAGTGAACGGTCCACTTAGTTCTTGGGAAGAGGATTCAGGCAGATGTGACGATCGAATGAGCTGCATAGTGATTTTGGTGTTTTTTACAAGTTTGAAAGTGAGGAGTGACGATTGTGTTCGCAGAGAAGATTATCGTTGATGTATTGTCCCCTTCCATCGCGCGGGCTAACCGTGCCTTGATATAGTCCTTTGTTCCCCATCCTAGTTATAATAGCAACGCAGGGATTATTAGCAATATCGTGCACAGGGCAGAGCCTGAACCCTCATCTGTAGCTGTTCGCTAAGCGCGGATCATAACAGATTTGGACTGAACCCAGTCGAGAAGTCCGGCCTCTCCGTTCTCGAGACCCACGCCGCTCTCTATCCCACAGGTCAGCAAGAAATAGCGTATCAATGCAAAAAGGGTAAGACCTACGTTTCCATCCTCCATACGTGGTATGGAGGGACCAGGGCCCTTCATTCACCCCTACACAACCTGCTTCGAGCAGATTGGTAAATCGAAAAGCTCTTCCGAGATCTTTCGTCCAGACATATGCACGAAGCCCGTATTCAGTGTCATTTGCGAGTCTGAGCATCTCGTCGTCGTCTTCGAAGGGAAGAATCACCACAACTGGCCCAAAAATTTCCTCCTTCAGAATTCGAGCATCTGGAAGAGGATCAACAAATATTGCCGGCCGTAAAAAGCAGCCTGGACCCGGAACAATCTCCCCGCCACGAAGGAGGGTTGCCTCTTTCTTTCCCTGCTCGATATACCGCTCTACTCTTTCTCGTTGACGATGATGGAAGAGGGGTGAGCTCCATGTGCCATCTTCTAATGGGTCTGAACCTAGATTGTCGTCGTAGCTTTGGACCAATGACTCAATCTTGGGGAGCATTTCCTTGTAGATTGACTTGTGTAAATAAACCCGTGTGCCTAGTGTGCAACCTTGTCCGTTGAGTGCGAGGAACATCCCACAATGTCTCGCGGCTTTGTCAAGATCCGCGTCTGGAAAGACAATGATGGGCGACTTGCCGCTGAGCTGCAGAGTCACATTTTTGAGATTCGATCGAGCAGCTGCAATTTGCACCTCACGTCCCACAGCAAGAGATCCAGTAAAGCTAATTTTGCGGATCTTCATGTGCTCAGCAAGAGCGTTGCCGATGGAGCCATCTCCCGTGATACAGTTGATCACTCCAGGCGGTATTCCAGCTTGAGTAGCTAGCGATACAGCGAAAAGAGTGGAGAAAGGATTCAGCTCGCTAGCCTTCACCACTACTGCGTTACCGGCTGCTAGGGCTGCCGCAACTTTCATGCAGTAGCACACTAGAGGGCCGTTGAATGGGAGCACGACGGCGCAGATTCCGTAAGGTTGTCGGATCATGTACTAGAAGAATCAGACAATTAGTAAATGGTATTATTGATGACTTTAACTGTCATTAGACTTGTGCAAACTTACTTGTACATGATCTTCTTCCCTTTCCACGATTCTGCTATCGAGCGCAAATGTCAAGCCTGCAAAATCTAGTGATGGACTCCAGTCAGTATCAGGAACATAGCTTGCCCTATATTTTGCACCCACAAGTAAGTGCTTCTACAGCGTGGTCGATTTCGAACATGCTAAATTTGCGGGTTTTCCCAACGAGTATAGCCTCAAGCCAGAAGATCTGCTCCGCATGCTCTTTAACCAGTTGTCCATATCGTAGCAGCGCATCTCGGCGTCCGGCCTTTCACAGGATACATTGTCAGCCAACCTTACTCCGCGTACGGAACTGGATTTCCATTACCTTACTTAAGGACTGCCATCTCTTAAGACCCGTAGCCGCGCTTTCAACTGCATCTTCTACGTCGTCCTTGCCAGCCCATTGGAAATCTTGCAAGACCGAATCAGTTGTTGCACAGTTTCGAGAGTGAGAAAGCGATTATGCTACTCACCTTCGCATATCACCTGATCATTTACGGCCGAGGCATAGCACTGTGTATTTTTGCTCTTGCTTGTAGTCCATTGTCCGTCAATGAAATGTTTGCTAGGAATAGGGTACCGATTGAGATCGAACGAAATCGATGGTCTCGATGAACTGCTGACGTGTGAAGGTATCGACATTCTACAGGTGCGATCAAGTTATGCAATACTTGCCACAATTAGTGTTTCCTGACTGTAGTATAAATATCGGCACATATCTTCTGTTCGCCGACATTTTCAAGGCTCTGAACTCTCAACAACGATTCAGTCCCATTGTATTCTAGCGATGATTTCGGAACTAGATGAGTTTGCAAGGGCACCCTGTACTATCTTCATGTTCATGAGTCGTAAGCCAACCACGTATTCGATCGAGAGTCAGAGTCCGCGGTTCATGCCGGAGCTTAACTGCTTTGTACCCTGTAGGCAATGCCTATCCACTAAGTATTCAATGGCGAAGAGTAAAGAAAGCTAGAAGGGAGTAGACTGATGGCTTCGGAGTCCGTAATCGGAGCCCGTGATCTTAGTGCTAAGCTATACCAACAAAGTTTCTTATTGCGAATAATGCAGAAAGCTGGAAATGTAGACTAACGGCTTCGGACTCCGTAGTCGTAGTGTTATGATAGGTTTATTGGCCCGCTCGCTTAGTGACTTATTAGCTATAGCTTAGATCCTAGCCTTTATAGGTGTAAATCTACAATGAGACAGATTATCCACGCGTTTGATCTCTTCCGCTACTTAACTATGATACATTTGTTCGATTTTTCTGGTCCAGCACTTTGCCCAGATTTAAATCGCTATATTCGTACTCATGCTATCTTGTACAGCGATATCAAAGTATAGATGGAACTTATGCACAATGACTGCATCAGCACTAATTACCTGAACGCTTGCACTATACAAATTGCCCTACGATAGGCCCTGATCTTATTTTATGCGGCTTGACGCGACCCTATTTTGCTCGACATGTCCTTGAGTACATACAACTGGTCATATAAACATGTGACATTTCCAAAGAGCTGCACAATGCGTAATTTGCTGCGACTGAAAGCTGCTTCCTGATCATCAGGATATGCGCGAAGCACTTCTTTCTCAAGCAAACGAAGGCTGTGCTCATAGCAGGACTTTTCGTACTCTGCCATCGTGGTGAGCGCCTGCTTTTTTGCTGCTGGATCGTTGGTGGCCATGCTGTGAAACTCGGGGAAGTGGACGCAATTGACATTAAGTTCAGATGAGTCCCTTGGAATGGAGCCAATGTCGTTGTGCATACGGCACATAGTGCTCATATGTCGTACCATGGCGGCGGAGAGGTATTTCTCCGTTGGCGTGGCAAACATCTCGACTCCATCCCCCATGGTTTGTGAAACCCAACAGCAGGCCCAGGCAAAAGAGTAGGCACAAGCGACGTGATCAGCGGATGTTGTTCGTACCCAATGGAAGAATCGCTCTTCCGTTTTGTAGAGGTGACCCTATAATCTAGTGAGCTAAAATGCGTTTCTGGTGGATTGATACTAAGCAGGTCTGGACTTTTACATACTGCATTTTCTCCCTGGGAGGCAAACGCCGTGTTGTCCTTGATTTGTGTTGCATGGCCAAGTAAGAAATTCCGCAACTCGAATTCTAAATTCTTGCGATCCACGGCACTTGCTTTATAAACACGATCATGGTGTAGCACGTGTGTAGAAAGACGTAAGAGCGCTTCGCAGATCTAGAAGAGGTCAGGTACGTGTCATGTTAGAATGGTGCTCATAGTTGATGAAGTAATGGCACGAACCTCGTGATGCTCCGATGGCATATCGGCAGTTTTAGGAGGTAAGACGACTTTCGAGGTCTCTGATTCCTTGCCCAAAGTATTGCTTACAACGTAGTTGATAATCGAGTTTAACGAATCTGGGTCGTCCGAGAACGCTGGCGTAGCAAACGCTTCGAAAAACTCATCCGTTTGGAAGCCAATCAGTGACATGACCATCATGTCGAAGAGGAAGTTAGTGGGAACATAGAATTTCAACAGGTTGTTGCACCCAATCCATGTGAATGGAATAAGGTTCAGATAGCTGCCTTTGCTAAAATGGTTGTAATCATCCCGTGCAAAGACGTCCAGCTGTCGAGCTCTCAAAAGTGGTATGAAGAGTGAGGACTCTACCAATGAAGCCAGAATGTGCCATTCCGGCGAGGATGAGAAAAGTTTTGTCTGCTTTAGAAATGATGCATATTGGCCGATTTGTGGAACATCGGAGTTGACGAGCAAAGACCGACCAACACCCTCAAATTTTTCGATTGGCTGTGAGACCCGGTATGAGGCTAGAACATAGGCTTCCGAGACAAATTTAACAGAGTATTTGGTTTTCGAAGTCCAGGAGCTCGATAGTGTGCGTACACCACTTCTATCTAAGTAAGCAATTCCATGGTCAATAGAGCTCTGTAGTTGAGATTGGAAGTCTGTAGACCTATTAGAATTGCTCTTCAAAGTCTTTGAAACATGAATCTTCGGTTCATGTATGGAAGTGTACCTTTGAAAATCCACAGTTGGCGTGCTTCTGCAAGAGTCAAGATGGCAAAAGCGGTATCATCGGCAGAATTCCCCCATGAACCATCAAGACCTTGCTCATGCAAGGTACGTATGCAGGCCTGGAATAAACATATCGATATTTTCAATACAAGCTCTTGGTCTGCAGGAGTGAAGATGTGGTCATCTTCAAGACTACGCAGAAAAGCTACGAATGCTTGCACTAGCAACATTGCCGGATAGAAATGGCTTAAATGCTGCGTTTTCGTAAGTATGAAACTGTTGTAAGATTTTATTACTCACCCATTTGTCTCTAGGCAATCCATCAGACTTCCACCAAAACTCTATGATGAAATCTACCGTCTTGCGGATTTGCGGTGCATAGCTCTGTCTGAAATCATCTTGCAAGAGCGCTAGTAGAACGTGGCAATTCGAGCTCCAGCTTCGGTCACGCTCACCAGCGAATGTGCAAAAAGCATCCTCTTTCTCAAAAAATTTTACCATAGCAGCCGGTGTAACCCCTTCAAGCTGGCCTAAATGACTCAGAGCAAAAAGGCCCTTGGCGGTGTCGTCGACGTCAACAGCACGCTGTACGAATTTAGCTTAACTTCTTCTCATTTACAAGGCCCGTCAAAATCAGCGACTTACGGGTGCTGTAAGAGTTAGTCACTTCATCTATTGCGGAGAGAGTGTGGAGTCTCACCAAAACCAATAATCCCGCCATCTTCAGAAAATCCATTTCGAATGATACTTGCAACATCATTCACAACGGGTCCGAGATCAGAGGCTTTGTACCCAGCGTGTAATAGTGTTGCTAAGGTCCAGTTGAATTCGAAAAAATGGATGGGGAAAGTGCCTGAAACTCCGCCGTCGCCATGACCCATGCCCGATTTAATAACATGTCGGAGGTAGGCCTCAGCTTCATTGTCCCATTTTGTAGAGTTTATCAGATAGGCGGCAGTCGACGAAGGCGAGGCCATCATAGACCCATTATATAAGTGATGGGAAACTTTATCGAAGTCAATTCGGCCGACAAAAGCTTCGAGCGAATGGACAGCTGATGATGGATGCGTGCTGTAGAGCATTTCTGGCCGAAAACGAGAGAATTTCTCTTTATACATTCTTGTAAGTGCGTCTTGGCCTGGAAACTTGAACTGCAATCGACAGTCTTCCCCACGGAGATAATCGAGTAATGCAGGTACAATGAGTTCTACTCCAATGTGATTCGTGGATACCAAATCATTCCAAGCGTTCAACTGTCTGTCGAGTGCCTGAGTAGCAAGAGATATCCGACTGTCGAGATCGCTACTGGAGTAATCATGAATTTGCAGTGGCTTTGCAGCGTGTTTAAGGACCGCTAGTAAAGCAGCTGCGGTATCTAGAATGCCGGCGGTTTGAGACACAGGATCGGTGCCCCAGCTACCATCGCTACTCTGCATGCGGAGGAGATAATGGAAGCATTCCGGATACAACCATGTCTCATCTGCGCCTGTTGTCTTCTTGACCTACAGGATGTTGTCAGAAGACGCGTTTGAATCATTGGGATGGGAACGTATATGTTTCCACATACCATTGAAACCCAAGCGGTGTCGTAAACCTGGCAGCTTGCGGTCGAAAAGCCATACTTAGTGTCGAAAGATGCGAATGCCCGTTCGACTAGTCCCCGAGCTAATGCAGGCGTTACTCGTGCCTGGCTCGGGTCGGAACCATTGGTTGAGGATTCTACCACAGGCAAACTTTCGAAAAGTGCCTTGGCCATCATGTATAGAGAGAAGGTATGTAGGAGTACTCAAGTTCGTTCCTCGTACGCAGGTGGCAGATAGTAACACACAACCTAATCCAAGTCTATGAGCATATGATAAGTATGCAAGTCTGATAATTGAAGTCTGCTCCCTGTCAATGCTGCATGCTGCCAGGATTTATATGCTTTAAAGAAACGGAGGCGGACCTTAACATCCGAACTCTGTTGTAAGTGAAGCGGTGTGGAGGTTTCTGAATACTTCAAAGCTTCGAGCTAACGCAGAAGGACAAGTGCGATAACAAACTCTTGGCCGAGATATTGAAAAATCCTTCCGCCACAGGTAAACCTGGGAGAGAAAAGCATCGTGGGCTGTTGACGAGCGTTTCCCTAGAGCCCAGCGCTAAGGTTACGGATTCCGAAGCTATTAGTCTACTCCCTAGCTTCCTTTGCTATCCGCGACAAGGGTACGGACTCCGAAGTTGTTGATATAGTCACTACCAGCCTTCTTTGCTGTTCGCCATACAATTACGGATCCCGAAGCTATTAATCTAATTAATGTAAAGGCTCACACTAGTAGCTCGTTCATGCATCATAATCGTATACAGCCCTGACTCCAACCCCTGGCAAAGCTTGGTTGTACTTAACTAATTTACCAGCATACCTAGTAGTTATTTCAAAGTGGCTAGGCTGTTACTCCAGATTGTTGAACCTAGCCCGCACGCTAATTTTTAGCATACAAGCTAAGGTACGTAACTTCGTGAATCACTTCATCTAATACCCAAGTATCGTGAAGATTGTCACACTTGCTACATAACCATACGATTCTTGCAAGGAAATACACTCTGCATCTTTACCATTAAGCCGATATACGTCGATGTCAGAATAAAGGTTATACAAGCTCTTACCCTGCCGTTCAACTTGACCTCTACATCCTATCAGGTTTTAACTATGGAACAAAGTACATATATCGACGACCCGATGAACTTAGAAAGCGAATTTTCAGTGCGAAACCTGGCTACTGTGAATTTAGCAAGTCCTAAAAATATGTCGAACATCGTGCGTTTGAGCTCAGTCCTGAAAAGTACTGTTATCTACGCAACACTTATCGTAGGTCTCGAATAATGCGCTTCTAATCGTACTGTGGATAACAAATCCTTTGAAGCTATTCTTATACTATGTCATTCTCGCTATATACAACGTCTACTTCCACCCGCTTCGAAAGTTTCCAGGCCCCAAATTGAGAGCTGCGTCGGACTGGCCGTATGTTGCTTCCCTACTACGAGGCACCTCGCCGCAAGACATGCTAGAAATGCACAAGAAATATGGTCGAGTGGTGCGCGTAGCGCCCAACGAACTCACATTTGTTAGCCCTGCAGCTTGGACGGAAATTTATGGGCAGAAAAGACGCGGTCAGGAGGAGCTCGTAAAGGATGAGAAGTATTATTCAGGAATGGGCGAACCAACACTACTGCATTCAAACCAGGAACAGCATGCTCATCTCCGGAAACTGCTAGCGCATGGTTTCTCTAATTCATCGTTGCAAAAGCAGGAAGCTATAATCCAAAAGTATCTTGATGTCCTAATGAATACCCTCAGACACCATTGTCAAGACGGGCGGTCTGTCGTGGATCTCAAAGACTGGGTCAATGTGGGTTAAGAATATATCATTAGAATGGTTAGTGTATCGACTAACAATGATTTGTAGTTTTTTGTGTTCGATGTGATTGCATATTTGAGTATGTCACCAACAAGACTGTTTAATTGGACAGTGACCAAACCTAACGATGCTCAGCATACGGACAGTCATTCAATTGTCTTGAGACGCGCAACGTGCACTCGTGGATCGAGCTAGTCCCTAAGCTCGCCAGATTCATGGCTCTAATGCAAGCAGCACAGCGGCTACCAATCTTCGTCAAACCTCTATTCTTGCTTTACGGTATCAGTACTAATCTGCGGTCGAATGTGAGAACCATTCAAGCAATCAGCAAGGTAGATATCTCCAAATCTTCACGCGGAAATTTGTATCGCTGATACCTACACTATCATTATAGGAAAAAGTCGATTACCGCCTGAACTCACGACCACTGGTCCCAGACTTTATGGAAAAGCTAATTGACGAATATAAAGAAGGCAGAATGACCATGTACCAACTCGACTCTAACGCTTCTTTCCTCATGGCAGCAGGAAGTGAAACACTAGCGACAGTTCTCACACATGCAGTCTTCCAGCTTCTAACAAATCCGAGGACGCTAGAGAAGCTTACCGCAGAGATCCGCACTAAATTCACATGCGCAGCAGAGATAAATATGTCCAGCGTCAATGAGTGCAAATACCTACTAGGCTGTATCGAAGAGACTATGAGGATTCAAGCGCCTTCGCCCGCCACGCATCCTCGATACACAAATGCTACCGGCGCAGTGATCGATGGGTTCCAGGTGCCGGGGAATGTAGCAGTTGGAATTCCCATTTACGCGGCGTGCAAAAGTGCCCTCAACTTCTACGATGCGGAGAGCTATATTCCCGAGAGATGGACAGGAGAAGATCCGCTCTACAATCACGACCTTAGGGAAGCTGCGCGAATATTTTCACTTGGACCCCGGGACTGTAGGTTGCCTTTTTCAAAATCGCCTTTCCTTCTATTGATCGATAGACATGTACTAACTGTGACCGTTACAGGCCTTGGGCGGAACTTGGCATATGCGGAGCTCAAATTGGTGATTGCACGATTGGTGTGGCACTTCGACTTGGAAGCATGTTTCGACTCGAACTGGTCAGATCAAAAGGTCTATATGGTTTGGGAGAAACCACCTTTCATGGTAAAACTGGCGCCGGTGCAGGGCAGCTGGGCAACCTAATTCCGCAACAACTTATAGGGATTATTCCAAAATGTTTGTGTTGTAGGTTGCTCCTTGGTGGTACAGGCTGGGGATGTTGATTAGAGGATGGGAAACTATAATCACAACTGAACAATGTTGGTGTTACCTTTCGTTGAGAGTATGTAAGTCGTTCGATAATCTCTACAAAGCATGACAGCCGCAAATACGCTTCTTCTGTTTATCCTGACTGCACATAGCGTCTAGACTAGGTGACTCGGACACTATTGTAACAAACCGTTCGTACTAAGCTTGAAATGTCAGCTTTTCGATGCATGATTCAAGTTGCTTCTCATGAGTCAGCCCAGATTAGAGCGAGCTGAATAGAAGTAACAGTCCATGGAAATGTTATGAGTGACAAGAAGTGTTTTTTCCTTGACCATGGAACGCGAGGTTGTTTTCTAAGTAACATATTATATCTATCAGTGAAACCGAATTCTATTATTATTATTATTATTATTATTATTATTATTATTATTATTATTATTATTATTATTATTATTATTATT